TATTTAAAAAGTTTACGTTTGCCATTAAAATTAATTTATTCTATCCGTAGTCACTTAAATTAGTTCAACAGTTTAAGTTTGGTCACTCTCTGTTAGTCTCCGTTAATTTTAACTGACGTGGCAGTCAAATTTGACAGTTGACCGTTAAATGTGTGACGTGGAAATTAAAAAATAATATAATAATAAATTTTAATTATTTACAATTTTCACCTCATTTTTACATTCATTAAAAAATAAAAATAAAAATAATTTCTTTTCTTCTGCACGTATTCCGATTTCTTCTTCAAGAATTTCTCCGACTTCAATGTCTCTTCTGTCGACTTTTCGTGATGGCTGGAAGACGACGGAAGGGTCGGGGTCGACGTTGAATGCAACATATTTGGCAAAGTTGGTGGTGGCCGCGGATGTTATCATCGATCGAGATATGGGGTTTGACGGAGTTCGAGGGTGGAGGAGGTGCAGGTGATTATGGTCGGGGGAAGAATAAATGACCCCCAATTTTTGGATGAAGACGATAGAAGGGCTCGTTTTTGTTTACCAATTAGGGAAATCAGTCCAGTCTCCCATGGGAAACATACATGTGTGAAATTATCAGCCGGCGAATATGAATTTGTTGGTGTTGAACGAGGATGGGAACATAGGAGCGTAGGAGCGGAAGCGAGGTTGGCGCTAATCCGGAGGATTTTCCGGACGAGGAGTCATGCATCATGTGTTGTGGTCGTGGTGGAGCTAGTAAGCGACTGAGCCGTTGCCGATTTGTTGATTTTGATCGGGCTCGGCGCCATTGTAGATGCAGAGAGATAATTGGGTTTTGATGAAGTGGGTGGGGAAGGGAAAGGCAGGGAATTGGAATTCATTGAGAGGAAGGGAAGAGAGGTATTGGATTTGGAGCTGACGACTGGTGGAGGGAAGGAGGAGGAGGATGTGAGGAAGAAGAAGGGGAAAAGGTAAGCAGCAGGTGGCCTAATATACTATAGGTTGTTGGAGACAAAGACGATCTTAGGTTAGGGGGCGTTTCTTTTTCAATTTTGAGAATTTTAATTATTATTATTTTTTATTTTATTTTTGTGATAACGATGTAGAAGTTCTAAAAGATTAAATTTTATTTTTAATTATTTTTTATTTGTCACGTCATTCATTTAATGGTCAACTATCAAAGTTGGCTGCCACATCAGAAAAAGTTAACGGAGACTAACGGAGAGTGACCAAACTTGAACTGTTGAACTAATTTGAGTGACTACGGATAGATAAATTAATTTTAGTGGCAAACGTGAACTTTTTTAGTAATTTTGGTGACCAAACTTGCAATTTACCCATTAAAAATGTTATACATAGTCTCCAAGAGTAAAAAAAAGATACTTCTGACTAAAATCATGGTCATTCTCCCAAATTCTTTAATATGGTTTAAAAAATCTATTTTAATGAATGATTACAATTTTTTTTATTGATTAATTGGTCGACTGCAAATGAGCCGAGTTTCACCCCAACTTGAGCTCGGCCCGTTTACTAACGAGTCTAGTCGAGGTCGAGTTAGCTTGTTTACTATAATCTTGACTTTTATTTGGTACTTCATGTTGTATATCATGATACATATGATTTATTTTGTTAGCTAGTCTCATATTATACTTTGTTGGTATCATATATCATTTAGTAAATAAATTGTAACTACTCCAAATCATGTTATTTCATAGTATCGAAGCAATCTATGATACATAATTTAAAAAAAAATAGAAAATAAGATAAATTTGCTCACATACTCAACGTGTTAAACTTTATATATGGTGAGATATATAATTTAACAATCATATGAATTTAAATCATAAAATATAGATTGATTCGTCTATAAGTCGGTAATCGAGTTGTCTCTCTAGCCACATGTTAAAACATGTCATGAGCTCTAAACGAGGCAGCTCACGAATTTAGCTCAACAAATCATCGAGTCGAGCTAGCTCGCGAGCTTCACGAGATGAACAAAGTTTAGCTCATGTTTTAAACGAACTCTTCTCGGATCGAACGTCGAGCCGCTCGGCTCATTTGCGGCGCTAGTCACAATTGCCTGCAACATTAGAAAATTAACGGACAATCTCGTGAAGCACTGCATCCCATATCATAATGGGGGACTAGATACTATGACAACACTCCTTGTGTTGTTATTGTAACAACACTAGTCTCCAACCAATAAGAAGCTAGGGTTGTGATGACTTTTTATTAGATAAGTTGACCTAGTGTATAATCAAAGCAGGGGTATAATTGTCATTATGAAAAATATGTTTAAATAATAAAAAAAATAAAAAAAACTAATTTTTTTTATTTTTTCGGCCCAAAATTTTGGCCGCCGGAAAACGGTCGCCGGTCACCGGAATATGCTTTTTTGTCATCGGAGTATACCACCGTCGCCGGAATATGCTTACCGGCGTCGGAATCTAGTCATCGGGGCCGGAATATGCCTATCGGCGCCGGAATCTACTCAGTGACGGTCATCAGAGTTTGGTCAACGGGTTTCGTTGACCGGTCAACGATCTTTGTTGACCGGTCAACTGTCAACGACCACCTGATGTTATGGTCTGCATTGTAAGATTTATGGTTTGGTTTCTCATATTTTTGTATGTCTTTTGTGGTTTGCTTTATCGTGTTTGTGGTTTGCATTAAGAAGTTTCTGGTTTGTTTTATCGTGTTTGTGGTTTGCATTGAGAAGTTTCTGGTTTGCTTTCAAAAATTTTGTGGTTTGCATTGAGGGGTTTCGGGTTTGTTTTAATATATTTGTGGTCTGCATTATGACGTTTATGGTTTGCTTTTTTGTGGTTTGATTTACTGTGTTTGTGGTTTGCATTAGGAGGTTTCTGGTGTGCTTTCGCAAATGTTGTGGTTTGCTTTGTGAGGTTTGTGGTTTGTTTTAGGAGATTTGTGGTATGCATTCAGAGGTTTCTGGTTTGTTTTATCGCATTTTTGGTTTGCATTAGGAGGTTTTTGATGTGTTTTAGAACTAGTTGCGGTTTGCTTTGTGGTGTTTCTAGTATGTTTTAGACAATTTATAGTATGCATTAGCAGGTTTCTGGTATGCTTTCGAAATAACTCTGGTATACTTTTGTGATATTTGTGGTATGTTTTATAAGATTTATGGTGTGCATTCCAAGATTTTTGATATGCTTTCAAGTGAATTTGAAACTACCGGAACTTGTAAAAATATGCCAACACTTTCCAAGATTTCAATCAAATAAGGGGAGAAAGAAGATTGATGCTCAAAAAACGCAAAATTGCAGCTTAATAGCTACACAGAGACTATAAAACAAACTAATGAAGTGTAGTAACTGGTAGGGATGGCAATCAAACCCATGGCCGCGGGTATCCGACCGCCCCCGACCCAATCAACGCGGGGAATCCCCGCTTTGACCGGGTATGGGGCGGGTATGGGTAAAACCCGCAAAAAGTTTGATGGGTATGGGGCGGGTATGGTTTCAGCCTCCCCCGCCCCATACCCATACCCGCCCCACCAAGAGAATTTCTTCACATATAAAAAAATATGTGGATTAAATTGTAATCTATCAATGATGATAATGATAACTCGAGAAAATAAATAGTAGAAATGCAATTGAGTAACCACCTTAATCAAAACCTAATTCATTTTCCTCAATTCTCCTTCCACTTTCCCCCTTGTCAACAAGATTATGTTAGTTAATTATTACTTAGTAAATATATCAAGAGTTAGAGCATAATAATTTAAAAAATATTGTAGTCTATATTATGTATTAATGGATGTTTTAGGATCATATTCTTTGAATCGTATTTAGAAAATGACCGTGTTTTGTTGACTTCATGATATAATAGGTTTGTCTATGGTTATAATTAAAACTTTTCTTGTAAGTTTTAGGTAATAATGTTGGATGTACAGGGATGGGTATTACTCATGGGTACCCGAAACCCACGGGTATGGGGATGGGTTTGCAAAATATTCCCCCGCATGGGTATGGGACGGGTATGGGTTTGAGTATTTGAAGATAGGGATGGGGATGGTTTAGGCAAACCCGCCCCATTGCCATCCCTAGTAACTGGTATCCTCGGTAAAGTACATGATGCCCCAATCTGTAAACTTGACGCAGTTATTCAACTCCATTAAAGGACATGATGCCTCAATCAGTGCTCGATGCAAATTGAACTGAATAGTTGTTAATGGCTCTGAACATTAAGTGAGATGAAGCTGCTCGCATCTTTGACTACCTCTGTACCTGGTGTTTCACTTAAATTTGTTTTAAATGAGGTAGAAGATGATAGCAGCAAATAATATAATTTATTGTTTGCCTCTAGTGGATTATTTTGTAAATGAATGTTATAACATTTAACTTTATACCTTTCACTACAGCTCAAGTATATTTCGATGAGTTCACTTTTGAGTTTGATTAGAGTTAACAGTTGATAAAGCCAAGCAAGAGAGTTAATTACACAGACCTGCAAATGATGTTATTGCCGAGCGTCAGTAGCTCGTCCTTCAAATCCACGGCGGCCGTCTCCTCGCTCTTCACCACCAGCCGCTTCAAAAACCGCGCCAGTTCTTCCCGCCTCACGCGCCTCGACCGCTCCAGCTGGCGCATGGAGAACAGCTCCGTGACGCACATCTTCTTCATGAACCTCCAATACTCGCCGTAGGGCGCCGTCACGAATCTCGAGTCCCCGAACAGCACCGGGTCCCCGAGCGGCGACTCGGGCTTGCCCGCGAAGCTGACGTCATGCTCGCGGAAGATCTTGGCGGCGAGCGGCGGTGACGAGACGAGAATGATAGGGGATTGAAGGAGAAAGAAAAAACGCCTTTTTTTTAATTCTAGTTTTATTAATTTTTTTGTAAGTTTACCCTTATACCCTTGTTGTTAGGGTAACAACATAATGGGTGTTGTTATACTATCTTCTCCCTCATAATGGGCCTAGGCCCAGCCTCCGGATGTCGACTTGTCAGCTTGCTAACGAAACCACGTAAGGTGCCTTCCAGTGTACATTAGCACACGGGATCGCAGCCAAGTACGGCGAGACTGACACGACCGAAGCCTCTTTCCAGAACTGAAACTCGTCGAGGATCTCGTACTCTTCATTTTGTTACTGTTTGGGTTTTGTTTCTCCGATAAATAGTTTGAAGGGGTAGATTCCGAAAGAAACCGCGCTGATCGAATCCCGGAAAATTATTCTAAGGTAAACCGATAAGAATCCCTCATTTCATTCTCGATTCAGATAATTTTTCTTGTCAATTCCATTTCTTCGTTGAAATTACTTTGACGATTGATTCTTCTTTCTCTCCCTATTTATGGAACGGGGAGGGATAAGAGCAACCAGAATCCAGGGTCAGGAAACGTAGATCTCTGCAAAACCCATGCAGTTTGTGATTTTTTACCCCGAAAAGGTTGATACTTTCGATTGTTTCAGCTGACGTCTATGAATGGGGTTCTGTCGGATTCTTGGAATTTGACTTCCCAAGCAAAACCCATTTCCTTTTATGGTTTTCGAAGGGGAAAAGTTTGAAACTTTCAATTGTTTGAGCAGAATTCTGTGAATACGTTTGTGTCGGATTATTGTAATTTGACTTCCTTTCTGTTATTTCGGTTTCTCGAAGAACGTTTGTGTTCAATTCGTTGCATGCATTTTATGTTTCGGCCAAGATCATGCATCTGCTTACAACCCTATGTGCTGTGTGATATGCAGATGGGGGTAATAGGGATGAGGGGAGCTCTCGTTGTTGTTCTCGTGGCTCTGTGTTTGATCCCCCAAGTGGTGTTTGGGATCAGATTTGTGATTGATAGAGAAGAATGCTTCTCTCATGATGTTAAGTATGATGGAGACACGGTCCATGTTTCCTTCGTCGTGATCAAGTCTGATTCGTCTTGGCGTAACAGCGACGATGGAATTGATCTTGTGGTAAGGCTCTCCCTTTTTGCTATGATCTGCTTCTTTGTTTATCTAGAAACAGCATGAGTGCTCCTAATGAACAATGTTGCATGGATATTAGAATCGTTCTTATCGATGGGCATCGTCTTTCTTCCCTGATGGTTGTGGCATATTTAGGGAATGCATAGAAGAATGGTTTGAAGTCTTTTTGTGCCATCTGCGTATGAGAGACCTTCGGGCCCTCTCTGATCTCTGCTCTGCTCACTCTGGCTTTCGCTTTCTCTTGCGCTTTAGTCAGATGTGGGATATACAATATATTGTTATGCGGTTTTTAGAGGAACACAATTTCGATTGTCATTTAGTTGCATCTTAACCTGTTACCTTGATTTCCCTCTGTAGATTCTGCTTTGCCATTTTGCTCTCTCCATATTGAGGAGCTAGATTTTCCGAGGCTCAAAAGTGGAAAATACATGAAGTAGCTATTAGCAGTAGCAATTTTTTTATATGCCTATGCTGTAGAGATGGACTAGGACAAGAGCTTGTCTTCTTTTCTATATACAGCTCTTTGTAGGGTATTGAAGCTGTAACTCCCTATTTTGTCATGTTGTCACAGATCAAGGGGCCTAATGGTGAGCAGATGCATGATTTTCGTGACAAAATCAGCGATAAACATGAGTTTGTGGCTCGTCAGAAAGGAGTCTATCGATTTTGCTTCACAAATAAGTCTCCCTACCATGAGACTATAGACTTTGATATTCATGTAGCCCACTTCTCGTACTATGAGGAGCATGCAAAGGATGGTAAAGCATCTTTATACCCCTTGTTTTTGTGTCTTCTATTTCAAGTATGGTAGGGTGAAGATTCTCATTCCCCACATTTTGAATGTCTAGAGCATTTGAAGCCTCTGATAGACGAGATATCGAGGTTGGAGGATGCACTGTACAACATCCAATTCGAGCAGCATTGGCTAGAAGCACAGACCGAACGCCAAGCTTTAAGTAAGAATAGCCCTCGACCTCTCTCTCTCTCTTACGATTGCTACAGGCAATGCAGCACCTAGGTGGCATTGCAATTAGCAATGGCGCCACATGAGTCATGACATTACTTTGGTTATTTTCTAGTCATGTTTAGTACCTAATATAATATATTTAAATATCGTACCGGTTTCAATAATTTTCATTTTTTAAATTGCAAATGAATTGCAAGGATGTAGATAGCTTAAAATTGTTGAGTTGGGTAATTGTTAAAATGGTTGATGTGCCAATAAGGACCCCTTATGAAATTGCTGGTAAGTCGTCGGCCACAAGGATGGGGATTTCCTTGATGCTCAAAAGGCTACTCGCCCTTTTGCCTTTAAATTGGATTCTCATTTCTCACTAGGTTTCGAACAACTCGTCGTCTTGTATTTTGATAGCTGCTAAACTGATTCTATTTTGGACGCAGTAAATGATGCAATGGGGCGAAGGGCTGTTCAGAAGGCATTTTTTGAGTCAGCGGCACTCGTCGGAGCCAGTATTCTTCAAGTGTTCCTTCTTCGACGCCTCTTCGAACGAAAGTTGGGCGTCTCTAGGGTCTAGGTGATTGCCGACATGAAATACATTTGGATATATGCCCTAGTTACTCAGCTTGTTGTTGGACTTCCTGTTGCATTGCTTAGCGAGAAGAACAAGACTTTGTACACTAGTAGAACAATTTGACACAATCTTAAGTTATACTGGAAATGACATTAAAATTGCTTCCTTTAACCTCTTACCTTGAAATAAACCGAATAAAGCTGTAATCTTTCGTTGATCTGAGTCCAAGTCCTTTCCGAGTTTCCGTGTTTCACCAGAAGCATGATGAGATATCTGACACTAGTCGTGAAGTGATCAAACTGTGCTGGCCGTTTGCCCAAAACACAAGTCATCACGAACTAGGTTGATATGATACACAAATATTATGAAATACTCGTGCTGGCCGGTTCGAGTAAGCAAAACCGATTGTCCGAGCAATTATATGCTACCAATTAAAATCACCTTTGCAGCACTAAATATCATTTCAGATGCTTAACAACAATACAGTTGTGCAGTCACAAAACCATCATTCTTCCACAGAAATCTGTTTGAATTTGAGCAAGACCAGAGTCTTTTAGGTGGCCAAAAGAGTAACCTGGAAAGAATAAGGTTATATATTGCAACGAAAACCAATTGACACCAGTACAGAAGAAAGAATTCAGAGGGGCAGATATCACAAAAGCTCTCTACAAGCTCATAGCATGAGGAAAATGGAAATAACAGATTGGATGACCATATATATAAAGTGCATCTTTACAAGATACAAATGACCTTTGCATTTCAAATCATTTTTCTTTTGCCCTCACCAAAACCCGCAGTTTTCACAACACCCAAACGAAGAAAAGAAAAAGAACAACGAACTCCAGGAGGATTCATCACCCGCTCTACAGCTCCCCTATCATCTTCTTGAAAAAACATTTATATGGTGGGACGACATAACAGTTCCATGAAGCAGCTTCTTCTGCAGCCAATAAATTTGTCAAGCTTCCGCGGCTGGACTTTGGATGCAGCAGAACCATTTCTTCTGAAAATCACCACCAAGAGACAACACAAATATTAGATAAGAAAATCACAGGGAAGAATCGTTAATGGAGCACCTGAAACGCATTCATTTGTGACACTCTTAGAAGTAAGAAACTAGGAATCACAACGGGTGGTACTTATCTGAATCCCTACAAACCTGCCCCATGGTATCCACTGGCAAGACACGGTCGGGGCAGGGAGACCCATTCTAACATGGGATTAGGATAAAACATATACAACATCTCAAATCTATTTGAATATATAATTGACTGAGACTACGAATAAGTATTAGAGAGAATTGAGATGAAGCAGGTCGGGCTGGGACGTGGAGTAAGACCCTGCCCCACCTCAGGTTGGTCCCTGGGTGGGACAGAAATGTGCAGGCCAAAATGGCCATCCCTACAAGAAGCACACTAGGAGAGTGCTGCAATGGCAATCATACAAATTAAATGCTCATCTCTACACTCTGACAAGAGATTCAACCTTCGATTAAAACAAAAGGCCACACCTCATTAAACTACATAGAGTTTGGCCATCTGTGCATGCACTTTGGTGCCAAAGTATAGGAGATAGACATGGGGGGGGGGGGGGGGGGGGGGGGGGGGGGATCAAACTACTTACACCAGGAGGCTTTCCATGCTCCATTGGAGCCTTAGTATGAGGATCTCCCTTTCCTCCTGGAGAATCGGGTTTGCCACCGGTTTTCTTCTCATCCCTAGCCTTGTTAAAGATCACGATAAATCCCTCGGCTGAAGCAGGATCATTAACATCCCATTCCCCGAATTTCGGCAATGGCCTACCTCCGTCCTGGTTAGAAAGACATACAAAGTAAGAAACTCCCACCAAGAGACTCATAAAGTTTATGAAAGCACAGAAGCATTCAAACAACGTAATGAAGAAAAGACAAAAGTTGATATGGTTTTTCTTTCTTTTAACATAGAGATTGAGCTTCTGGAGCCATAAGAATGTTTATCAAACAGGATACCAAACTAACCCAAAACCACATCATGTTGATGACTAAAAACATCGAGAAGTTACATGTTAGGCAAAGTCATGCAGTTCTTCTTCATAACTACAGGTTCACCGTTCACGGTAACTAAACTAGAGAAGGCCATATCTTCAGAACTACATTAGCTAACTCAATTAACAAAGCTCAACATTGAATCACTATGTATAATCGAGACAGCAACTTCACCTCACTCTCACCCGTTCCCATTTCTCACACCTGACTTTCTGTGCTCCAAGTATAGCAAGGAAGGCAAAACGGACAAACAGAACGAACAGTTCCTGCCCCACCTTGCAAACTACAGAAACTAAAAATCAGAGCCCTTGAGCTAGGATTGGAGAAGCCGACACGAAAGAAGCAATCAAATGCAAAAGAGAAAGAAAAAAAATTGGTAGTTGAATTGGAAAGCCGAAGCAGTGAAAATCGGAAGCCCCAGGATTCTCCAAGTCCAAATCGAATCAGATGAGCAGTTCCTTCACCATTTTGAAAAAAAAGCAAATAAACATCGAAAGAAAGGGGAACCCACGAATATTCCCAAAATTCAAGTAAACAAAACTGATCGGCAGCACACCACCCAGAAGAAGAAACAATATGCCACCCCCGAGCATCGAATTCACATAATTGAGCAGCCAAACAGCAAAACCCAATATAAAAGCTTTCATTGCACATCAGCAGCAGATGCCAAAATAGCGTCAAAATAAATATCCAGTTCGAATCAATTGGAAATCATAAGCAAAGTAGGAAGAAAAAAGCTCAAAAGGGTCCCAAAAAAAGTTATGAACTTTACAGCGCGAATAGAGTAGTAATACAGGCAAGCAAAAAAAAAACAGAGGCAGAGAAAGAGAAGAAACCTTCGAGCAAGCAGCTGGAAGAGGAGACTTATGAGAGAGAGAGAGAGAGAGAGAGAGAGAGAGAGAGAGAGAAGAAGAAGAGAGAAGAAGACGGAGAGAAATTGAGGAAGCGAAAAGATTTTCCTTTTGAGAGAAAGAAGGGGGGAGAGAGAGAGAACTTGGACCGGACATTGGGCCTAGCTGTGTTTGGGCTTTTCAAGATAACGTAAGGTTTAGACGGTAACAGAGAGAATATTTATATAACTCACTCGGATTGAGAAAGGCCGAAAGCGTCAGTCAGGTGACCGTCCGTCGTCGGCGTCAGCGATGACGTGGTGAGAGGGAAACGGGACGGAGTGAGCTGGCAAACGGTGTGATCCACTCCTTTTGAAAAGAGAGAGAAGTAGTTGGTGTACAGCGTACACGGAGGCACTGCCTTGCTGGCTTTTTTTTTTGTATTGTAGGGTATCATTTGGCCTTTTCAATAAATAAAAATAAAAGCTTTTTATTTTTCTCCTAGTTTGGGATTCTTTTTGGGTAAATGCCACATTTTTCTCCATAGTCTGGGATTACTAAGTCATATCATGTTTAGTCACTAAAAAAATTTAATATCAATTTTGGTCACACGAATGACTGAAACAGGTCAGATTTAGTCACTCTCTTGTAGCTTCTGTCCAACTCCGGTCATTCAAATTATTGAAACATGTCACATTTAATCACTCGAATTACTGAAACATGTCACATTTAGTCACTCGAATTACTGAAACATGTCATATTTCAGTAATTCGAGTGACCAAAATTGATATTAAATTTTTCAAGTGACTAAACATGATACGATTTAGTAATTTTAGTAACCAAATGTGGCATTTACCCGATGCAAGAGTCACATTCACAAACAAAATGACTCGAACCGGTTCGAGGGTATACTTCTGTACCCGATCAATTCTGGTGATGATGGTTGCTGATTCATTACGGGTAATATTCGCTTTGAAATATAACAATAGGATAGAGTACGAGTTTAGCTAATTACTCATTCTTACAATAGAGAGAATTTTCTTCCATTGCAATTGTTGTTAGGATTATGATCTTATTTTGTGGTCATCCTAGTTTTAGGCCTCACACCTTTTAATATAGTAGTGCTCTGCCTCTTTTGTACAATAATATTGTATATAAACCTAAACAATCAAGCGATCATAATGAGGTCAACTTGGATATTTCTCTTCCACAATAATAGTGTTGTAAGTATTTTGGATTATCTTAACTTAACATTTATTAATTTATTAATGCCTATATCCACCATGCCTTGCCTAGGACATTTCTGTTGGGTCTGTGCTCAAAAACTAATGATGAGTTTGTTGTATTTTCGAGGACGTGTTAGTTGCCGGGTCGAAAACATTACGATTATTCCAATAATCATATCTACTACTGGTGTAATCCATATGTTAAGAATAAATGGATTACTATACTTTGAAATTTAGCCCTTCAACGTCTATAGTGTAGCGAATTTTATTACAAAAATCTAGTTAACAGATCTGACATCTAAACAAAGCAAGATCCCTCGGCCTTCCACAACATATCATCTCGACTAAAAGAACTCGTCATAGCTTTTCGAGGCTTGCTACTTTGATTGATGAAGTGTCCTCATAATTGTTGTCCATCACCCAAATTTATGCATGGTTCCACATTGCTTACTTATCAGATTCAACCTTCCAATACAATCGTGTGCCTGCTATCCGTAACAGTGGAGGAAGCACCCAATCGTTTTTCTTTTGAGATAGATATTCCAAAAGGACCGGCTAGATATGAAAGTATATATAAGCCCTTTGCAGGCCAAATCACAAAACGAAAAGGAGAAAACAACTAGATATGAATATAATATATATATACACACACTACCGCTAATAGTTGAGGCAGCACGCAATTTGCAACTCCGTTGAATAATGAACACATGAGCCATTAATAACTTGGGGGAACCAAAACCAGTAGCAGGGCAGAGAATCTGCTGATGGGATATCCTTCAACTCCTTTCATGGGGTATTTTATTAAGAGGGAAGGCCATTGTTGCTGTCAGGGGAGAGACAGAAGCCAGCAAAGACGAACAAGTATGGCACAGGCAGGCATTTGCCGCGGTTTTAACTTTCGTTAACATGAATTCTCAGTACTGATCTGTCACGTTACCATGTCTTCTTTGATTCACTTTCTTATTGATTCCTGTTATCAACAGAGGGGGAAATGAGCAGAAGAGTATCGCCAAGGAAACACTAGATTTTCCTGTCCCCAGATGTAGGGTTTTGTCACTCAATCTCACGACTCAAACCATACACGAAACCCTCCTCTTCGTTCTCATTCGCCGTCAAGCAACCCATCAAACCAGACATGCATAACAAGTAAATTGAACGAATAGTAACATTGTCTCATGTTCCCTAATTATACAATAACGCTATGCCATCTTTAGAGATCATGCCACGTTACAAGTCACAGTCCCTGCAATTTCGCAATATAAGTCGATAAGAGAATAATCTGAGCAAGGGCTAATGGAATCAAAATTTTCGGAGCCATGGAGTTGTGCATCCCATACATAGCTGGTGTATACGGTAGAAACCGGCCATAATTCAACGGTTCTGGGTCTTGAGACCAAACAAATTCTCAAACAGTTTAGGGGCCATATCTGGAATATCCTCTGGCCGCTTAGCCATGAAATTGACTATCTTTTCGTGTACATTGTACCTACAAAACCGGGAAGTAACTTGTTATTCATGTCCGAGGACTCACCCTACAGATATGAATCCGAACTTGCATGCTTCTTTCAGTTTCCTACCTGATCTTGCGGGACTTTGAGGCACGTCGCTCTACCTCCTTCCTCTTCTTAGTCTGAACTCTTTTTACAGCATAAAATGCCATCTCTGGTGGAAATCAATATAAAGGATAACAGCTCAGTCTAAAGTCGCGAGTTAAAAAGTTTTGCAAGCAAGGAAGATATATTTGCACTGGCAAAACCAGTCTCCTAATTCATAAGGAAGTATGACCTAAGTCGTAAAGATGATTGGTAATAATACACACGCAACGATAGAAACTAGGGCAGTGGAAGAGGATGCAGTCTGGAGGATGGACATAATACTAACCACTTGAGTTTGGGTCAAGTGCCTCAAAGAATTCTTTCAGTAGTTGTTTGTAAAACTCAGTATCATCAAGAAGCTCAGGGTCACCATCAGGATGCGTTTCCTATAAAAAAATTTGATTTAGTTAACACGACAGTGTAATAATATGATGAATGAACGCCTCTTTGCATTCTGTGATCAATCATGTCCAGTAAAGTGATGACAATTACCTTGCCATTAGTACTGCTTGCCTTATCTGGAGCCAGCTCACAATCAGGAAGTGTAGCCTACAAAAAAATTCAATAAGTTAACTCGACAGTGTAATGATGAATGAACGCCTCTTTGAATATTGTGATCAATCGTGTTCGACTAAAGTGATAATAATTACCTTGCCATCACGACTGCCTGCCTGCTCCGGAACCTGCCCATTCATAAACCAAGTATAGACCAGAATGTGACCAGTCTGCTCAGCAGAAACAGAAAAACAAAACAAGAAGCTGTAAAACAACTTACAGGCCCAAAGATGTTAACATCAGACTTTCTCAACTGCATTTGCTTAACCATTCTGCTTGGATCCCTCATATATGCAGAAACTTGTTCACTGATATTCTGTGAGCGGAAAAGAACAACCAGTGAGTTCCCCTACAAACCACACACAGAAAGCTTACTTGTAATAACTGAAAAAAAAATTCCAACCTGATTGAAAGCTTGCAACTTGTTTCTAATAGCTGCTACCCCAGTTGTAACTTCTGTCTTCCTCTGCCACTTGTCTATGGATTTATTTCTAAATGGAGCTACCCTACAAGACAGAAGGATATAAGTTCCTTTTAAATGGATAAATGAACGATCTCACAGGACCATCATTTTCATGCTCAAGTTAACAGAAAACTAGATGCAACTCCAACACACACAGAAGTCCGATCAGGCAAAAAGAAATTGGAAGTCCATCCATGTGCAGAAACAAAACTCAAACCTCGAAAGACATTAAATTTTCACTGCCTAATAGCTAGCTTAAAAGACTTTTGGAATGTAATCCATGTTGGATGAATCGAACTGTAAAGAGATTCTAGATATTCCAATTGCTAAGGGGAACTAATGAGTTTCGATGAACGCGACTACGAGGTTCTTTGAATCTCATTTGATTTAATTTGCAGAGGTATTTCCATTACAGAAAAAGAAACAGAGTAGCATTCAAGAAAACTGAAAGTTCTCATCCAGGGCAGGAGTGATGTACTCTTTATAGATCATCTTTGAAGCAAGAGACAGTTTGTCCACGAGATACCTCAGAAACAACAAGGTTAAGCATTAATGACTATGAAAGACCTGAAAGCTACTGCTATACCTTGTATGCATTTGTGAAATTTTAGACCATTCTTCATCTTCATCACTCAAGGACTTGGAGTCATCTGACTGCTTCTTCACAGGTTTCCCAACATTACCTTCAGATAATTAAAGAGAGAAATCAATTAGGCTCCAATAGCATGTAGAATTTCAGGATGTGGACAAGCTACTAACTTACCATTAGATGATTGAGAAACAGAAGGATTCTTTTCTAGTAAAGCCTGCAAATAACAACAACAACAAAACAAAAAACAAGAAGAGAGGGTAATTTACAGAAATATAACAGTATGAAGATTATTCAATAATTGCAACAAAGGAAAAACATGTTTTCCATTGCAGACAGACCTCTTGCAGCTCAACAAGGGATTCCAAAGTCTTTTTGGATGATGAAATGAGGTCA